TATAAAGCTATAGTAATCAAGTATTAGCATATAGACATATAGAGCAATGGAGTAGAAGACAATATCCAGAAAGAGACCCACATATACACTATAATCAATTGATTTGACAAAGCTACCAAAGAAATTCAAAGAGCGAAGGATAGGCTTGACAAAAACTTTTTTTTTTTTGATGATGCCAGAACTGGATATCCACACAGAAAATAAAATAAGCCTTAATCCTTACGTTATACCATACCACAGAATTAACTTACAATGGACGATAAACCTAAACATAAGAGTTAAATCTACAAAACTTTCAGAATAAAACATAAGAGAAAATGTTTGTTACTTTATGGTAGACAAAAATATAAAACAAAGGATACAAAAGGATAGAGGATACAAAAATATAAAAACAGAGGATACAAAAATATAAAACAAAAATAAATCTGAATTCATAAAAATGTAAGAAATATCTGTTTAAATAACAGTGCTAAGAACACAAAAACATAAAGAAAACAAACCACAAACTAGGAGATGATTTTCACAATGCATGTATTAATACTTGATAATATATTTGCTCCAGAATATATTAATATAAAGAGTTCATGTAACTAATAAAAAAACCCAATTTAGAAAATGTCCAAAATATTCAAATACATATTTTACAGAAGATACACAAATAGCCAATAAGTATACAAAAAGATGCTCAATATCATTAGTTACCAGGGAAATGCAAAACAAAATCATGAGATACTACTTCATGTTCATCAAAATAACTCTCACAAACACTAAAAAAGAGTTGTCAAGGATGTAAAGTAATTGGAAATCTCATACTGTTATGGGAATAAAAAATGGTGTAACCATTTTGGAAAAAATTTTGGGCAGTTTCTTATAAAGTTAAACATGCATTAAACATTAGACCCAGAAATTCTACTCCTAGTTATTTACCCAAGAGAAATGGACAAAAGCACATATCTGCACAAAGAGTTGTACAAAAACATACATATCAGCATTATTACAGTCTCACACTGGAAACAACCCAAATGTCCAGTGCCAAGTAGATGACCCAATTGTGACATAGACACACATTGGAATAATACTGTTGAGCAATAAAATGGGATGGACCACCGGACAAAAATGCAACAACATGAATAAATCTCAAAAACATTGTCCCA